CTACATATTAGAAGAAAAGGTAATTTATAGCCCTCTGTCCTTTTATATTTTATATAATAACTTTGTATAATAATCAATATTTTAAATTGAAATTTTAATGATTATATAAATGAAAAAGTAGGAAAAAGCATACAGGAACATCGTTTGAGGAAGAACCATGATTTTGATTGGGATCATGTCAAAGTTGACATGAGGAACGCTTTTATTTAAAACGCCTGATCTCAGAAATGATTTTCATCAAATTGCAGAAGCAAGGTCTTAACTCACAAAAGGATACCTAATATTTGGGCATCAGCTACTGCGGCTTGTTATGAAAATAAACTTTGTTTTGGTTTCTTTCTCTTCCAGAAGTCGTTTCCGCAATGTTAATGCTAGGTATATAAATCTGTAATTATTTGTATTTTGAAGACGTGGCGATGTTATCGTTGACAGGATCGGTTTACTTTTAGCTGAACTCAACAAAGGTATTTTATATTGTTCAGTTTTAATTATTTGTTATATTCCAATTTTACTTATTTTTATTTTATTTTATATGTTTTTTATAGTTATGACGACTACTTCTCAATATTAATTTATTACTTAATATTATTTCGGTAACGATCTTGTCGGCTTTAATATTACGACTAACATTCATGTCAATTTGCGCTGGTCTTTTACTAATTGTAATGCGTTCGTGTTGTAAACCTTGAGTTTTATTATCACTGAAGAGGGTTTATGGTTAAGCCGAAACGTATGATTGTTTTATATTGATTATTCATATTCAATAAATATTACACGATTTCCTAATACAAGGAAGGTTTTTTACCCATATAGCACTATTAGTCCTGTGCTTGAACTCGGATTGTCTTTTTCCTACTTTTTGATTTATATCTTCGTATGCGAGTTCTTATTTCTTTCTCTAAATTTAATGATTATATTTGTCAAAGTATTGGTTAATCAATTGCAGACTTAAAGTTATGTAATGTTTATCACTTAGGACAATATTTATAAAAATATGGCGATATTTATAAAAATTAGATTTTAAAAATGTATTTAAAAAACAGTATTTTGTTACAAATTTAGAAATTTATTCAAAATAAATTTTTAGAATAGCTTCTATACAAAACAAGTAGATTTTTAAAGCTAATTGTAAGATACTATGTCCTCTAATTCTATATTTCAAGCGAAAACTTTTACTGAAAGAATATTCCTTTTATGATGAGAAGAGAAGAATAAAATTGTGCTTAGAATATTTTCCTTTTCGTTTTAAAAGAAACCTCTTGTAATATGTACGGTGCCTGACAATTCATAACACACCCATGCAAATAGAACTGAACAAAAGATTCCTCTACCATTTCGCAAATAACCACGTAAAATTTGAGTTATTAATTTAAGTAAAGAGGATTAATAAATAATCAGGTGGGCGCGATACGGTAAATGACACGTAATGGCGAGATCTACTGTCGTGTGTTTGTGCATTACATCAAACTGAACAAAAGAATCCTCTATCATTTTACCACGTTTAAAAACCACGTGGATTTTTAATTATTAACTAAAGAAGATTAGTGCAGGATTATGCATCAATCTTCAATCAAAATACTTCTCTCCGTTCGTCGACGGAATCTCATTTAATTGATTCTATCGCGATTGTCATTTTCTTAAGCGAGCTTGAAACGCGCGCGGGATACCTGCGATTGTCTCGATTTTATTGCCTGCATAACTCGCTGCATTAAATCTCAGCTGCGCGCGCGTGTGCGTCGCATTAGATTGTCCTAGTTGCATTTCCTTCGCGTTTTCCGCGCGCCTCGAACGACGTGGTTGTGTTCTCGCAAAAGCGAAAGATTGCTGCGAAAAGTGATACAGCCGAGGGGGAACGTGAGTCTTAAAGTTTCGGGCGAGATTCGTGGCCTGTAATTAAGCGAAGTCTCTAGCGGAAGAGGAAGAGGGGAGTGGTAGAGGGAGGGAGCTGTGGAGATTTCTCGAAATAAATTATTCCGCGAAAACCGCAATCAAGGATGTCGTTCTATCACCGTCTACGGTCTCTGGAATTCCCAGGAAAGAGAGGCTCGACGAAAGAGAAGGCGAGAGAGAGAGAGAGGGAAGGAAAGAGAAAGAGAGAGGTCGTTGTTATGCGTGGACCGTTATTGTTGTTGTGTTGTCAGTATTCAGAGAGAAAAGTATGAGTTTCTTTGTTTCGCGCGCGCGCTCGAAATAAATAATAGGGGAACCGGGGCTATATGGTTCCAGGAATGTTTTTTTTAAATATTTATTTTGTATTTTTTAGTATTTATCTCGAGAGGAATAATGGGTGCAAAATCGTGTGAAATAGTTCTTTTACAACATAAATATTTTTGTCTAAGTTTTTCATTAAAATCGGAATAATATTACAGTTAAGAAATAGAAAAAACTGATTTGGTAATAGCAAAGTAAATGTTCGAGCCTCTCGAAATTTTAATATTCTTCATCGTAAATAAACAAAATTAAGCGATGTGTTACTAGTTGAAATTAAATTTCTTGCAAGTGTATGCTATGTTGTTTCTCGTAATAAATGCAATTTTCATTTATAAGATGATTGAAATTGGGCTGATGGGCGAACGAGGTAAAAAGTTGGCTCATAATTAAGGACCGGCAGGAGAGCTCTCGTGGAGACTAATACTGGCATATTAATCAAAATACATATTTTATATGCCTTATTTACCCTGCGCTACTGGACAACTGAATTTGGTATCAGGGTAAGATGGCTATGTTGCTGTATGTTCGTTTTGGTTATTACAAAATAAAATATACGGTCAACAGAGTCGTGGCGGGCATTAAGGGGACTGAAGAGTCAGATTGCCTGAAAATCGTGCTTGTTTTTTCAGTTTTTTTTTATGACAAACTGAATGAATATGCGAAAGTGTTATTTTGACGTGTATTTATACAACATATAAAAAGAAGAAAAATATAATTTTGATGATAAAATACTCAATATAAGTGTATGCAGTTAAAATATATTTCGTTTTTCTTTTCAAAGTCGTCATTTTGCAATAATAACTTGACTCTTGGTGGTTTAATTAAGCTGAATTTTAGATAGAAAATTTCCGTAAGCCTGTCGTTATCGTGTGAACCACTATAATAGAAATTGAGTAAAAATTAACGAAATTGTAAATATCTTAATGGAATATTATTAAATTTTCAATTCTTTTATAGTAAAAATATTAATATTTCAAAATAAAATATTTTTACAAATTTGTTAATGGTTCACACGATAACGATAAGCTTACGAAAATTTTCTACCTAAAATTCGGCGTAATTAAACCACCGAGAGTCAAGATATTACTGTAAAATGACGAGAAAAACTTGAAAAGAAAAATGAAATATATTTTAACTACATGTACCATACACTTATATTGAGTATTTCATCATCAAAATTATATTTTTCTTCTTTTTATATATTGTATAAATACACGTCAAAATAACATTTTCGCATATTCATTCAGTTTGTCATAAAAAATTATGAAAGAACAAGCACGATTTTCAAGCAATCTGACCTTCCAGTCCCTTTAATACATAAAAGAAGGTTGCCTCTATTATATTTATACAATCAGTCACAACAATTAATTGCCTGAGAAGTTATAACTTCGAAATTTTTTAATGTAGGTCATCTAGCTTCGGTGTTTCCTACTTGATATGGCGTCGTTATCTAGAAAGTTGCGATTCGATTTCGCAAATTATCAGAAGACTACCCACGTCAGCGCGTACGCTCGTCCGCTGAGTATTATCCGGCAGTATTCGGTAATTCATGACACAACCGGAAAAACGCAACCGATAAGTGGATCTGTGAACGATAAGTGATTCTGTGTCGTGAACAAAATGTTGTAGCCCCGGAGCACTCGCCGCCTTGACAAGAAAACGAACGGCAAAGTAATTGTTCGAGCCTCTCGAAATTTTCTATTAATACTCTTCATCGTAAATGACAGAGGCAGCCTTCTTCTATGTGTTAATGTCCGCTACGATCCTGTTAACCGTGTATTTTGTTTTGTAATAATATGCAGAAAAATATTTTTCTGCTGCTAAGAAAACGCCGCGATTCCCTGGTAGAATTGTGTGCACTCTGTGTAGACGTGTCTGCTCAATTGTTGTCCAGTAGAGAAGGCTGGGATGAGAAGGTTGGATGTCTCATATTTCAGAATTTCGAAGTTACAACTTTTCAGACAATTTATTGTTATGACTGATCGTACAAATGACAGAAGCAGCCTTCTTCTATGTATTAATGTCCGCCACGATCCTGTTAACCGTGTATTTTGTTTTGTTATAATCAAAATATTAGCACACAGCAACGTTGCTGTTTTGCCGTGATATTGACAAGGAAGATGGCCACGGTTGGAATATTAAATAAATTAAATTGTGTAAATACGATCGAGAATATGTTAAATCGTCTTTATGATCGCCTCATTGAACTACAGTTAGAGTTTGTTTCACGCTAACAGGAGAAAAAATTTGAAAAATTATTAGAAAGATTGGAACAATTACACTATATAAAAATTTAAAATTGATTTCATTTTAATCTGTCCGACTTGACTAATATTTTAACAATACATTATCTTCTTAAGAGTTTACGAATTCTGATTTTCTCCAAATAAAATTCTCTCCGTGTAAAATATTGAAGCGCGCGGTTTATGTTTTTTTAGAACAAACTAGCCGTGGCCCGTCGAGAAGTATAACAATTTTGAAATTGAGAGTTTATTTAACTCGATTAGAATTGCTTCGACTAATTTTTTTCTAAATAGTGTAATTAGAATATCAAGAAGAGAGAGAAAATATATTAAAAAAGTTTACGGAGAAACGCTTTGTACAGTACGCCGGAATTTCATTCGATCTTCAAGACTAGAATCGTAGCGAAAGGTTGGAGGGAGGAAGGGAGTGAGGGAGAAACGAGAAGCCCGCCGCGTCCTCGAAACGCTCAATTACACTTAGCGTGCTTTCAGACTTAATTAGCCAGTTGATTCACGCGAGCGACGCGCTCTCGTGTGTGTTTCCAGGTTTAAATGGTGAGAGCCCCACCACCATCGACAGCACCATCGCCACGACCATCACCATCGCCATGTACAATCTGAACGTGAACGTGAATCCCAGCCCGACGGCTGGGGCTGCCGCGGGTCTTCTCGGTGTCGCGGCGGCCGAGGTCACGCCAAGGACACCGGAAATCGTAAACTCTCTGATCGCCATGACCAATCCCTTCGAGGGCTACAGCAGCAACGAGAAGAGTAGAGACCGCACGGACTCGACCAGCAGCGGCGAGCCCAGCCCGCCGAGTGTCCAGCACACCTGTAGTCAGCTCATCAAAGAAGGTAAACATACACACAAACTCACACTTATACATGTTCTTCCTCGTGAGTGCCGCGGATTGACGTTTACGATTTTGTTTTTATTTTTTTTATTCAATTCTGCTTCGTATACACTCGGAAAAAAATATAATCCCATTCTTAGTGGAATCCTCTTATATATGATCTCAAGAGGATTCTTCTAAAATCGAGAGGAAAACATTCCAACACCTGAAAAGGAAAAGAATTCTAGGTAAGGAGTTGCAAGGCGTTATTTCCTATAATTTTATATTCTAAGTGGAATCTACACAATGGTCTTCAACGAGCCAAGCACTTTTACGTATAATGTATAATACGTTGTTGGATTCTGAAGTTTTATAATGGAGATGTGCCTTTTAAAGATAAGGATAAATAAGATAAGGATAACAGAAATATAGCGTTGCTTTATATCAACCCATGTGTTGTGTCATCAGACCTAATTATTGGATCTAATTCTAGATTTTGAATTTTTTTTTTAAGCCAATTGTTCTTAAAAATTGATATTTCAGGATTTTTATTCTTTCTCCAGAAGTCTTCCAGAGAATAAAGAGAAGACGAAAAGAAGAATTTTCTTACATCTCTTTAAATAGATCCAATCAATCCTTTGATTTAATTATTAACACGATCGGAAGTTGAAGATTTAGATTGGATAGATTGCGAGTGTTAGGAGTGTTAGGTTCCTCGGAAAATAAAAGTAATTTGAAATTAACTGTCAAGAAATTTCCTCACGAACGACATTAGTCAAGTTAAGAATCATTTGAGTCTCATACAGTCCTCATTGACATACTTCTACTAACATCTTCAATCGATCATTTACAACATCAGAAGGACATCCTCTATCCTTCGCCTTTATCTTTAAGACTTACATTTCCGTTACGAAACTTCAGAACCAACAAGACACATTATACGTTCTCAAGTGATTCCATGCTTGGTTAATGTTAGGTGGTTTGAGAGGCATTGTGTATGTTTTATTCAATTCTGCCTTAAGTACACACTCAAAAAAATATAATCTCACTGAATAGAATCTTCTCAATATATGACCTCAAGAGAATTCTTCTAAAACCTAAAGAAAAATATCCTAACACTTGAAAAAAGAATAATTGTAATTGCAAGACATTGTTTCCTGTAATCTTATATTTCAATATATTTATTATATTTATTCGAAGTTTAAATTCGTGCAAAAATGCGATACTCAACTTTAAGTTGTGATTCCAACTTTAAGTTTGAGGATCGTCAGGTATGCAAATCATTAACTGAAAAAGAAGGAACGACATCGATATATAAATTAATGGTTAATCTTTCGTGAGATATAAACAGATGAACAATATGACAAACATTAATTTTTTACGTGTTATTGTTTACTGCGTTAAAGTGCGGCATGAAATTAGCCATTATTTTGATAAAAATGATCTTAAGTCGCACTTAATGCACTTCATATGTATTTATTTATAATATCTCTCCGAATCTTTTTTCCTCCGATTGTTTCTCGAGCAGTGCAAGTTTTTTCTCACTCCCTCTTTCGCTCTTTTTTTGCTCTCGCTCCTTCGCGACGGTGCATGCATCCAGCGCGACGCATTAAATCGCAAATCCTGTTCCTTTCAAATTGCGGCGTTACGCAACAGACACGGGCGGAGGATCGTTATCGTAATTGCCTCGCTGTGTGTTTGTGTTTGCACCGGTTATGCTCGCGGCGGAGATCGACCCGTTATACACCGCCGCCGAATTAATTAATTGGAATTAAATTGATTTTCGACGGTGGGGCGAAAACGGATCACGCCCGACGTGAAATGTCGGGTATGCGTTCCTTTATTATCACAAAGCGTGAAGTCGTGTTTGCTTAGTATACTCTACCTAAATTTCTTCCAGTGAAATTCCACTCGAAAAGTACATTGAGAAAAATTATCCGATAAAAAATTAACAAATGAATATTTCCGATCAGTTTTTATATCCCATCAGAATATCCGATTAAATTTAATAGGATATTTCCTTTACGTGAGATAAACCGATCAAGAAATTATGAATCGATATTTCTCATCGGATGTTTCCTGATCAAGTATAAAAAATTCATCGGTATTTTGATCGGGAATGTCCGTTTGTTAAGTTTTCATCGATGATAATTGATGATTTTTCTATAGAGCGGCAGTCACTCGATTTCGAACAATTATTTCGTTCATACAAAGTATCTGTTTTTTTCCGAATTGTCAAGGTAACATTGTTATTCGAATAAATTTAATAATTTAATAATTCGAATAAATTTAATAACTTAATAATTTGTTTCATCGCCTATTTATTCACGGTAAAAAACATTTTGTTGAAACATATTTGTTGAAATCAATCTTTGTAGAAATTTTTGTGTTCAATTTTTCACATACCCGTGTGTTAGTTTAACATGTTGTTGTGTTATTTTGACTATTCTGCATTGAATTCATATTCGCCATTTCTAAGTGTTAAAATAACACGATAGTATCCAAGTATTATATTATTACTTGTGTTATTTGTTTAGATATTTACCTTGTTAAAATAACATAAGAATGGAGTAGGCAAATTGTGAAATGTGTTAAATTTGACATAAGATATTTTACAGTGTTCTAATGGACTGAAACATTCACTCATCTAGAATCCACTTTAGATTTAAATTCAATTTATTTATTTATTTATTTTAAGTTTTTTTCAAGCATTCATTCTTGTGATTCGATATTTTCACTGTCGTTTTGAATGAGTTTTCACTCGTTTTAAACGTGATCTTGCTTCAAGAAACTTCAAGAAACTTACTTCAAATACTTAAAGAAACTTAGAGCTTTCAAAGTTTCTTCAAGCGAAATTTTATTAAAAAGTTAAAGTGCGGAATCTTTCGAAGTCAAGTAACTTTTTGTTCATATGAAGCGAATTTTCTCACTTGTCATTTCTTTTATTTGAAATTAAAGAGTGTTTTTATGCATTGAAAGATTGGTGCGAAAGATTTGTCATTTTTTCTATTAAATTTCTGTGGAGAGCTTTAGTATTAAATAGAGATAGGAAGTCTTCGTTAAATGTCCGAAAAAGAATACCGGAGTCGATGTACTTCATCTTATTCATAACAATTATTAAACCTTCGAAGTTGGATAATTTTGTCTTCTATCTTATTTGATAAATAAGATACATCTTTTGCACCAATCAAACCGCCGCGACAAGAATACATTCCTCCTAATTAATGGAAATATTCATTCGTGGTAGTTAAAAATCCACTGTAGGTTTTAATGAAATCTTCACTCTTGTGTTTTCGTGTGGGCGGTATTTTCACATTTGCTTTGAGTGGATTTCCACTCGTTTTGTGCGAGACTTCATTCCAAGAACTTGAGACAGTCACCAGAGTTGTAAAGTCCACTTTGGACGATTCACGATCCGCGATGGAATTTGGAACAGAGTTTCATTTGCAATTTGAAGCGTTGTGCACAGGAAAACGCTTTCACTAATGTATGTACGCAGTACGTATCTGCAATTTTAACTCTTTAATTGTAGCTCTTTTCGAATGTTGCCTCTTGAGTGGAATTCTGTCCCAAGTTCCACGTCGCGAATGACAAGTCACCTAAACTTCAAGGCGTGTGCGACTCTCTCGGCCACTACAATGATCCCACGAAGGCCACGGGAATGTCCTTGCGCCGCGTGGAAAATTAGTGACGAGTGTAATAATCACTATATCATTCTCAGCGACATTACTAACGCGCGCCGTAATATTTTCAACTTCTCCCAGGCGGAAGTTTGTAATTTATTGCGGCGTGATGCCGAGCCAAGGAACTCGGGTGAAATAAAAACGTTCGCGGATTCGCGTAATCTCCTCTCGATCTATGTTTGTGATTCTGCATGACGACTATAACTACCCATATTGCATTTCTGTATCTCCAACTGTGTGTGTGTCCTTAACCCCTTCACTACCGGAGAATTTTCGTCGTTTAAATGACGTGTTAAATCGTTTCTAATTTTTGAATCTGCTAATTAAAAGCAGAATATATAAAAGATAATATAATAGTGAAACATAACTGAACGTTATTTGTTTTTGATGATGAATACTTCTTACTGCAGCATCTATATTTAAATTTATAATAAGTTAGGTTTCGACATTTATTTCATATATAAAATTATTATGTATACTAAATGAAATAAATAGGAATAAATTTCTAGTCGATTAAGCTTCGACATTTACTTGATACATAATTATATTATACATTGATTTAATTATTATATATTAATTATTATATATTGATTTAAAAAAATATAAATGAAATAGATGAAATAAATTGTTATGTAATTAATGAAATAAAAATATTTTTAGCCAATTAAATTTTGACACATTTTTTCCGACATAAAATTATCTGACATATAATTAATATATATTAAATATAGATATAAAATGCTGAAGCTTAATTATTAATTAGCAAGGACGATAGTTATTCTTATTTCAAAGAAGCTGCCATTGCTACAAATTGCTTAATTTCCTTTCTGTGCGTATGTTTTTTTAGTAAAGCGTCTTGTGGTCATCACAGTTGTATTTAATCAATGAGTAGGATTATCCCTTCTTTGTGTATATTAATTCCAAGAATATGAAATTAATATTTTAATTATAATCGGATTAAAGGGCTGAAGCTGACGCTGCAGACGAAGAGGAGAGCCAATGGCAGCGGTGACGAGGGCAGGAAGAAGTTGAAAAAAGAGGACGGCAGTGCCGACGACGAAGAGGAGGAAGAGTCAAGCAACAATAACAACAAGAATGGAGTGAGGATCTTTTATATTTATTACGTATATTTTATTGTTCTCGTTAAAGGCGATAATGCCAGATCATCTTTTCGTGTTATCTCGATCAAATTTCACGTTTTGCCGTCTCGTCATTGAATCTTCGCAGGCTCTTTTCTCCCTGTTATGGACAAATATAAATATAATGCACTGAGAGAAAAAAATACCTAAAAAATAAAAGAAACAATTTTAAAAAATATTTCAGGAAATATTAAAAAATTCGATGGGTACTATAATAACATATTGACTTAAATTTAATATGTATACTTTTAATTTGAGGAGAAATTTTTGCCATATACAGAGTGTTAGTTAAGTATGTTGCCATACTCAACCGAGCGATTCTTTAGTTTATTTCAAGTAAAAAAGTTCATATAAACATGTGTCCTAAACGGCTTAGTTTCCGAAATAAAAAAATTTAAACGTGTAGTAATAATCTGTTTTGTTTAGAACAATCTCCTCTAGTACTGGTGTTCTAACTGTCATAGGCTTTTCAAGATCAACAGTGTTCCTTACAAAAGAAGATGGCGGTGAACATTCGCAAATGTTTTACGACATGGTAAATTGAGATATCTTTCTGCATAAATACGCCTTGCCTCACGTGAGTTACCATTTGCAAGACCGTAGGCAAAATGCATATTTGCCATTTCAAAATTTGTAAACTTAAGTATGTTAAAACCGATTTTGATAGACTGAAACAATTTAGTCCGAAAACGTATGCACAAACTAACCGACTCGCAGCAACATCAGAACTGAAGTCTACTTTTGATTTTATGACTTTGACTTTGTCACTTTGTTTACGATCGTGCGAATGGTAACTCACGTGAAGCAAGGCATATTTATGTAGGAAGATATCTCCAACGCAATTTACCGTTTCGTCAAACATTTGCGAACATTTCATCTGTATTTCGGAAACTAAGCCGTTTAGGACACATGTTTGTATGAACTTTTTTACTTGAAATAAACTAAAGAACCGCTCTGTTGAGTATGATAAAAAAGTATACTTAACTAACACCCTGTATATGGGAATATATGTAGGTTATTCAGAAAAAGAGAGGGCAGATAGTATTTATTATACCGAGTAAAAAAATGTTTAGTAAACATTCATCGGAACAACAGATTGAAAAATCAACCCTTTCAGAATTATAAATGTTTCTCGGTTTTGGTAACGCAAATTATTAGTGTGCTTCCATTGATCAATGAATGAACGAACGATATATATTATGTTATTATCGCTTTATTATTACTTTGATATTTACAAAAAGTCTTCTACATATCCCTCAATTCATATTTCTACACACGCTCGATATCTTTGTATTACAGAATTCTCCGATTTTTTTATACTTTTCCACAAAGAGACGTTGTACAGCTAGAATATTTCCATTGACAAGTACATGTGAAATGCACATCTGCTGCTTCTTGATTAAAATTTATAATCAGCTGACATAATTGAGAGGATATTCTTGCGCGTCTCTTGAATACTCCGTGTGATCACTGATTCTGAGGACAACTAACTATACTGTACTGAAGCAAGATAACAAAGTAAATATTATTGTGTAGAAAGGAAATTGATTCGAAGAAAACGAAAAATTTTTAAAAGAGAACATGTAAACATCTTTTGTAAACATCAAAGTAATAAAATGATAAGAATGGCAGTTGCTTTCTGCACTAAGAGGAAAAAATGATTGATCTAATTAAAAGTATAATTATTTCTGTCCTCAACCATATTTTTTAGTTGTTCTAACACGAAAGTAGTAGTAGCAGCGTGCTTATATTGTTACTAACATTACAGTAGAATTTAATTAAAAAAAAATAGTTTTCTTGATTATAATTTATAATAATTATTATTCTAATAATAATTATTACTTTATGTGATTATAGCTACAAGTACCAAACGTTTTCTGTCAGTATGGTTGCAGCAACCATATAATTGGTTGTTCCGTATTTCATTATTAAATCTAGTTGGCACAACCAGTTTATATCGTTTCTTTCGTGTATGTTTTCTTAAAACATTAACATTTGATTCTAATGTATAAACACGCAATGTCGCCACGACGGCAGATGTCGCCACTACAACTGACCTACCCAGATAGCATAAAATCTTCAGAGAATATTCTAGAACATTCTTAGGATGTATGAATGTCCTTAGAACGTCTTTAGAACATCTTTTGAAGATTTGTATGGGTATATTTCGCGTGACCACGAATCTTCTTTAATTAATATCTCGATAATTATTGCGAATATCGCCAAACGGTATGGGACTTTTATGTTCACCTTAATCCGTACTATGCTTTCATGAGAGTTTCAGAGGTTGTTTTTGGACACTTTGTATAAATAAAAAATAAAATTTTAACTGAACGCTCGCCTTATATGAAGGAAATGAAGAGTTAAGTAAATATATGTTTATACTGAGAGAAAAATTACCTTAATATCAACAAATATTTCTTTGATTGAGCTGCCATTAACATATTAATTTAAATCTAAATTCTCTATATTTAAGCCAAATATTGTTTACTTGAATCAGGTAAACTATGTTCGATTTAAATCAAGAGCATTTAGATTTAAGTAAATATGTTAATGGCACCCATCAAAGAAATATTTGTTGATTTTAAGGTAATTTTTCCCTCAGTGTACATATTTTGACATATTTACTTTTAAGTAAATATGTCATTAGTACTCACTGAATAAATATTTGTAATTTTTTGGATATTTTTCTCTCAGTGTGCCAAAAGTGCAGGAATACGTACTGTACGAGCGAAATAATTCTCCCAGTCCCGGGGAGAGCGCGCGAATGGATCCTTCCTCCGAACGGATTCCTTTCGCCGCCGATTCCTTTCGATCCTCGTGTCCCGCGCGCGTGTCCTTGACTGCCGTCGCGAATAATCTCGCGCCGCGAATAAATTAATTCCGACGGGCGCCATCGCCCAGTCCTTTTCGGCGGCACTCGCGAATTTGCATGCCACGCATGCGAATCGTTTGTTTACGGCTGGAAGTGCAGATTGGCTAAAATTAGCAAAATTGCGTGCGCGCGAAGAAGCAACACGCGTCCCGCAATTTTAATGTCGCCCGTACAACACATACAGCGTCAAATCGCGCTCACAATCGCGCGATTGCGTCTATCTTCGTTCCGATATTTCCATTCTCATTTCACTCGCAAGCGCCTAGCCTCGCTACTCTGGGCGAATCTAACAAATATATATATATATATCGCGATTATGCATATTATACACGTGCGAATCAATTTCATGAGGAAAATTGAGGAATTTGGACGTGCACTTTATATCGAAACTTTGTACTAATTGGAGTTATTAATTCGGATGTCGCAAATCTCGAACGCACGGTGTCCCGCCGCTATCTAGTACGTCCTCTTCCTTCTATGGTACAAAAATATACACGGAGAGAATATTGTGGTAAAAATTACAATGCAATTTTAGTAGTTCGGGAATAGACTGGCATTATTACGAAAATGAAAACAGTAAAACTATAAATAAAAGTAAAACTATAAGTAAAAGTACAACTATAAATATACGATAACTCTTATTATTTAACGACATTTATGGTCATTTTTATTATGTTTTATTATAATTTCAAATCTGTTTTAAATTTAAAGTTTCTTTGTTCTGAGATTTCTTTGAAATCTCCAAACGAATGAAAAATTATTCAAAGTAATGCAAGAAATGTTTACAATTCCAAAAGCGAAAAATTTACTCAGCATGAAGAAAAGCACTCAATTCATCAAACTAGCATGAAGGAAAGCATTCAATTAATCATTTCAGCTATCGTTCTATTCTTTTAGCAGAAATTCCAACGAAAGAATTTGAAGAATTTTACGAACACGTGTAGCCTTTTATTTTGCGTTAGCTAGAGTTATTTTTAAAGGACATCGTCTACTTCGATGTTATTTGATCGAGAACATTTCTGAGATAACGCGATGATATAATTAATTTACTGATATTAATTATGCGAAACCTCACGTAGGCAAATTCTACGTTGTGATGAAAATTATTTTTTTAATTGATGGGAGAATGCCAGTGCTTGAAAGTACAAAATGTACAAAACCAAAGTAGTATTAAAATAGAATTGAAACACAGAGGGAATATTGCAACAAATATTACAAGATTTTTTAATCCTGGACCATACAGAAATTATGATCAAATTATTATACATTTTTTTAAATATTATATGCAGGTTTAACTTTTTCCTATAAAATTATTATAATGGAATGTTTTTTATAATCGTATCAGATTGTCAAATGTACTATTTCTATAATAATTTATATATATCACAATTCCAGTGTAGTTTAATTTTACAAAAAGATATTGTAAAAAAATATCTAATTTTAACATAGTGTTTATAATATTTTCTTTGTATATATCGATGTAAAAAATGCGTGTCTCTACACTGAGAGAAAATATAACTAAAAAATAAGGAAGAAATTTATTCACTTGATACTAATAACATGTTTATTTTTGAATCTAAATTGTTTGATTTAAACAGAATAAACAGCTGCTTTTATGAAAAGCTGAGCTCTTAAGAAAATGTATAATTTCTTAAAAATATTTTATATTACTAAAAGTAATATAAAATAAATAAATATTTCATATTACTAAAAGTAAATATGTTGTTACTATCCGCATCCAATAAATATGTAATTATTTCTTAGATATTTTTCGCTCAGTGTACAACACGAAAAAGAATGAGTAAAGGAAACTGAGCTGCGGTTTATAAGTTTTCGTAAATGCATCATGACGTAGTATACCGGCGTTTTAGCATATTTCCTTATTACCGTATCCGAGGATCACGTCGAGAGCTCCACGCTCACGTCAGGCCGCAATTAGCATCTCTATACGAATACACGCTAATTCACGCGAGAGTGCAACGAGCCGCGAACGATTAACACATCCTCCTCGGACGACTTATCGATCGTCATTAATCAACGTCGCGCGCCATCGATGGATTTTTCGTCGTTTGTTTAGGAATGGCGAAACTTAATCTAGCGATCGAAATTAGCATGTCGAATATTTTCGAAATATCCAAGGATTCTACCGTTCCGAGGAGCGCGCAGCTAACATTTTCTGGCAGAAGAGGTCACTCTGCATGACTTCATAAATCCTTCAAGTTCCACATCCATCTTGTCGATAACTTGAAGTCCCAGGGACAAAAGCATGCGTATTTTACAATTTCGTGTGCGTATTCTACAAAAACGTGCGACTACGCTAAAATCCAACTGTGAAGTTGAAAAAATCAGGGAAACTCTATACAGATACTTTTGTCAAGTTTCTAACGTTTTAAGTCAGGTATTTAAGAAAGTACAATCTTTCCTTTAGCGAATTTCTCTTTTATGTACACACATACACCACACACACACACACACACACACACACAGAGTGTCTCTCTGACTTGTACCATACCAGAGTTAATATGTATTAGGTATACAACTTTGCTTCCGCCGTTTTTTTTTCCGAAATTCGAGGCTTTATTGTAAAAAATTAGTTATACATTTATGATTCAAAGTATTGTCCATCGCTGGCCACTACTTTCTCCCATCTTTCGGGCAGCGTACGAATCCCGCGTCGAAAAAACTGGTCATCTTTTGAGGCGATCCACGAATCGATCCAATTTTTTACATCTTTATAAGACCGGAAGTGCTGGTC